ATTCAAGACGGACATTTTGTTGAACTGATTTTGCATGTTCATATCTGACCTCATTATAAAGTTACGTTTTGAACAATTCAACGTCAGATTTTGCTGATTTCTAACGCTTTCTGTTCTTCAGTATTTAGTCCTTGAATTTGCTGATACACGGCCCTCTGAATGTCCTTGAAAAGTCCTTGAATTTAACTCTTCCTGACCTGTACGAACCCTGACAAAACTTCGGTTGGTACGGATGTAGTTTGTGTACAGAAATTCGTGGCTTTGCTTGTCGACCCCCAGCTGCGCTACCCAGATCTGGACAGTTAATTCTGATTGGTAACGACTGAACTTAATGGATTTTGATTGGCTTGATATAAATATCAACGACCGTTGGAATATGATCTTCAAAATCGAAAAAAATATTTTCTTGACACTTGATATTCATTGTAGATTTTACTTCTCTCTACGCTTCAAACTAGTAAATTTTCGATGCAAAAATGTTTCTGATGTATTGCAGATTAATATGACATCCAATTAAACAAATGAAATGCAACAGCAAGTTGGAAATAATACGGCAATTCCAGATGATACTTGATTAGGCAGCAGGTCACTATGGGCAGGTTGAGGTTGGCAGGATGCATGCTGATCAATTTCTTGTAACCATTAATACGGATACCTGATGACTACTATCACATTTGAGGATGCTGAGGAGAAATTCAGTATAGGAAATAGGAATGAGAAAGCAATGTTTGAATGACATAATTTATATATTTTGCAATTTGTAAAAGCCATAATTAACAATTATTCACCGAAGTGGAAAGTGAATAGTGCAAGCCAGGTCCAAGGATATTCACCGAAACGCTTCGCGTTGAGGTGAATAGCTTTGATCGAAGATTTTCTGCTATTCGCCTTGTTCGTTCGTCTTCTTCTATATCTGGATCTAGCAAGTTTTCCCATTCTGAAATTCCACCTTCAAAGTTTTTTAGGACATCTCTTGTGTTCTCAAAAGCCCCCTCTGTCGCGATACTGGTGATATATGTCGTATAGCCAGGGAGCAATCTTACCACCGCCGATATCCAAGACTGCAAGAGTGACCATTACGTAATAAATAAACAACGAGAGCGAGTGTTTCACCGGGATATCCAAACACGAGAAAACAATGTATGAAAACACGAGCGCGAAGCGCGAGTGTTTTCATATATTGTTTTCTCGTGTTTGGATATCCCGGTGAGACACGAGCTCGAGTTGTTTATATGGCTTCTCAAATGAATCGAGACGTAACAGAATGTTTTCGTTTGCTGATTTGAATAGAATCTTAACTAAGCATAACGTAATTAGGAATTCTATTCAAGTAATTTTGCATGCGTAATTAAGATATTTGATGAAAACACTAGTGACTTTCATCAAGTTTCACCGGGTTATCCAAATGGCATCTTGTGATCAAATAGGTGATTATCATT